TTTTTCCTGGCAAAACTGACTTAAAGAGAAAAAGAAACTTTAAAAAAAAAATTATCTCCATAGAAAACTCTAAGCCTAGATGTTTTATGAATATATTCTTTCAGAATTTTAAGAAATAAGTGATTCCCACTTATTTTTTTCACCTGATGAACTCAAATGTTTATTTTTATTGATTATACTAAGATGAAATCATTGTCCTCTTTTTTTATTTACGTATAGTTGATTTACATTGTTTGATTAATTTCTGATATACAGCAAAGTGATTCAGTTATCTGGCAACAAACACATATCTGTCAATAATTACCTTAAATGTCAATGGACCAAATGCTCCAATCAAAAGACAGAGTGGCAGATCGGATTAAAAAAAAAACAACCAAGAGCCTACAATATGTTGCCTTCAAGAGACCCACTTCAGGCAAAGGACACAAAAAGAATATAAAAAAAGATTCCCACTTATTAATAAGATGTTGTCTATTCAATAGTTTTACATAGCCTTCCTCCACAAAAAAGGAGGAAAAGCTTTCCAATTCCATGAACTCTGGCACTAAAATTTAACAAAGATAGTACAAATAAAGAAAAATGCAAACTAATCTCATTTACAAATACAGATGCAAAAATAACTGTAAGGTAAGCAAATAAAATTATGCAGTACATTAAAACAAGACTACACCATGACTAATTAGGGTTTATTTCATCAGTAAATTTGAAAAACAAAAACCAATAAGACATGCCATAAACTAAAATGCAATTTCTCATAGAAACTCCTAATAAAGTGGACTAGCATGATTTTTAATGATAAAAATCATTAAATCAACAGTCAGTATAATACTTATGGTAAAATATTAAAGACAATTCCATAAATTAAAAACTAAATAAAAATACCTGCTATCACCTGTATTATTTAATATTATTCTTGATATTCTAGGCAGTGTATTAAAAGAAGGGGTGAAAAAAAGGAACAAATAACTGCTAAAAAAGAGGAGAAAACATATCAGCTGAAATATGACTAGAGCTAATAAGTCTGACAAAAAGGGAAGTTATAAAATGAATCAGCAAAATTTACTAACACCCCCAAATACAGTAACAAAAATATAGTAGTATGAAAAATATCTCATTCATAAGAGCAAGTAAAAATATTAAATATTATAAAGGGAACATCAAAAGAAAGGTGCAGAATCTGTATATAAAAAACAAAACATTGTTGAGGGACATAAAAGAATTGAGTAAGTTATTTGGAATGGAAAGATTCAATGCTAAAAAGATTTGTTATCCCATAGTTTTATAATCTTTTTTAAAAAATCACTTTGCAATTTTAATTAACAACATATAAATCTAAGATAAACTTTAGAGAAGTATACAAACACCTTAAAGAATAATTATGAATGAGGTCTTGCAATACTTTTCAAAGATACTATAAAGCTACAGTGATTAATATAGCCTAGCACTGTAAAAGTCTAGGTAGAAAGATAAATGGAATAGAGCCAAAAACTGAGAAATGGCTCCAAATATGTAATCAGTATGTAATAAAAGATGTTATTTCAAGTCAGATGGGATAAGATGGGTTACTTAATAAATGATACAGAGATATTTGGTTAACTTGAGAAAAAAATTAAGTTATATCTCTGGTTGAAATTATACTCAAAATATATTCAAGATGAATCAAAGACTTAAGTGTATAAAAATATAGTCAAAGAACTGGAAGAAAATATAGTAGAATATTATATAATTTTAGACTGGGAGAAGGCTTTCTAAACAAACCCCAAACAGAAAAAAAAAAAAGAGCATTACAAAAGGGAGGCAAAGATTTAACAACAAAACCATAAAGTAAAGAAAATGACAAAATATACATATATGACAAATAAAGGCTAATACCATTAAAATATACATTAAGAGCCTTAAAAACCATAAAAACTAGACAAATCCCTTAAAGGAAAAATGGGCAAACAACATAAACAGACAATTCACAAAGGAAGAGACATTTAATACAAATAAATTCATGTAAAACTCTTCATTCTCAATAAAAATCCAAAGAATTCAAATTAAGTCAGCAATAATATGTTATATTCCCTTATCAAACTGGCAAGAAATGTTTAAAATAATAATACTTGCTACTGAGGGCAAGGGAATACTCGCAGATACTGCTGGTGAGAGCACAGAACACTATACCTGAAGGGCAATGTGAGTCAAAAGGCTTTTTTAAAAAGAACACCTTCTTTGACCCAGTAATTTCACTTTTTAGAAATATATCGTAAGAAAATAACCACTAATTGACACGGAAAAGTATTAAAAAGTTACCCATGTTCAAGGTTTTCTTTATAATGACAAACAATAAAAACAACTTAAATATTAAATAAAAGACTCAGTTAAATTATAAGAACCTCACTTTATGCAATATTTTCTGCAAATAAGAATAATAGTTTAGAAGATGACCTAATCAGGGAAATTCACAATATATCATTAAGTGGGAAAAATAGATTACAAATGAATAGTAAAAGGATGATTCCAATTTTAAGGGAAAAAATTTTTATGCATAAATTAAAATGGAAAGGATATATACTATAATACAGGTAGAATGAAAAGGCAATTATATTTTCCTTTGGGTGTGTTTATATACTTTTTACAATAAATGTATATGAATTTTGTAATGAGGGAAAAATAATGAGATATATAAATACACACGCTTGAGATATACTGAACCCTGATAACCCACTGTAGTATGTTTTTCTTTTCTTTTCTTTTAATTTCTTTTTTGGCCGCACTGCACGGCATGCAGCATCTTAGTTCCCCGACCAGGGATTGCACCAGTGCCCCCTGCAGTGGAAATGTGGAGCCCTAACCACTGGACCGCCAGGGAATTCCCCTAGTATGTTTTTCTTGGAGATAGTATTTAGATCACCCTAAAATTTCAGAATAATTATAACTAATTTTGGTGGCTAATAACTGATCTGATCTCACCTACAACAAAAATGTATGTTGAGTTTCAGCAGTGGCTGAATCAAACTATTTGAACACTACTTTAACTAATTTTTTTTCAATTTTTTATATTATTGGTATACTTTGTGTATAATGTTTATGGTGACAAGATATTAAGATGTAAAAAGAGATACTTACACAGAGTAAATCAAAATGTAAAATTTAGTAAGATTCTTATCTTCTATGCCCATAAAACTGAGGGTAGCACACAAATGAAAGTTTACACTTCACATACAGAATCCAGAAAAGAAAAAGTTAAAGAATTTGAAAAGCCTAATTTTGCATGTTTCACTTTTGAGATTTATATATTTTGATTATATAAAACTAGTACAGTTTTTGCATTTTTAGAATCAAAAATAAAGATAGAAAGTGGGAGGGGGAAAGATAACCCAAAGCATAAAAACTCGATGCTGAATCATAACATAATAAAATGTTAGCTTCCACATTACTGAGAGAAAGCAAGACCCCCATCATTCACGCTGGCAAAAGCTTGCCTTTGCATAAACCATTTCTGTTCTCACTGTCATAAAACCAATGACTTTGGAAAGGGAAGAAAACACAGAATGACGTGCAAAGTAGCACACACCATGTTATTGCAGCTGGATAAAGAATATGTCACTAATGACTTTCTTTCTACCCGTCAGTTTTAAGTTGAGTTTCTTTTTTTTTTTCCAAAATAGCAAATGGCCTTTATGAGTACAAAACAGAAGCAGTGAAATTCAAAATAATATCCAATTTCCACTTGATTTTGATACTGCATTAGTTAATAGAATGAGTTATTAATTATTTCTTGGAAAAGATATGACTCCCTTTTCTCTTCATTTGAGTTGAACATAACATGCCTGAACACTAAGCAGTTTTCTGTAATAAATTCAAAATAAAATTTTCATCAGATAGTTATCATGAAATGTTCATCTTAAATGAGGAATTATCCATGGGAATATTCACCTGAAGTCATTTGATAAATTCAGAAAACTAATGTAATTAAGTTCCAAAGTTGTCAGGTCAAGTCAGAGTGATGACTGTCTGTAAGGGACAACTGAAAAAATTAATTAATGACAATGGATTCTATTCATGATACCAAAAGCTAGTGATACAGCACTTCATCTCCACAAAGGAATCAACAAGAGAGAATTGGGCAAAAAGTATAGCTTCTTAACTGATAGGGCAGCTTAATTCTGTAATGGATTGGGACTGTCGACTTCTTAACATGTTTCAAAATAATAACGTCAATCACTTATCTTTAAAAATAAGGATGCTCATTCTCATCCGGGTTGGAGATCATGAAATGTTAAGTCCGGTGAAATCTGATTGAGATTAATCAACCTACAATCCTATGGGCAGTTAATAACAACCACAACTTTCCCTCATGAGGACTTTCTTAAGTGCCAGGCAGTTTTAAAAGCTTTACATATACTAATTCTCTTAATGAGCCTATGAAGTAGGTATTTTTATTATCCTCAGTTTAGATACAAGGAATTCAAAACATAGAAAGCTTCAGTGACTTGCCCAAAATCACTCATCTAGTAAGTGACAGAGCCAGGATTTGAACAGGTAAACAGGCCTCAGAATCCAGCCATAAACCATAAACAGCACATTCTATAAAATCCTTTTTGACAGTTACTACAGCTGACCCTTTTTGATCAGAAGAAATTCAAATCAGTGATTTGGATTCATCAATTAAGCTATTATTATGATTTCAAAAGGAAGGATTAAAATTATCTTTAACTTAATTTGTTCATCTTTGACATAACCTTTTTTCTTTTTCATACTTTTTGTTCAGTAAACTAATGAAGTAGTTTATCCTATAAGTTATATGTTTATAGACTAAAAAAGAAGGGGCAAAACTTTCATTCTATAAACATCACAAAAGAATAAAGTTCAGGAACACACTATACATTTACCCTCTCAGATATAAACAAATATTAGAGGTAAGAATTTAATGTTAGGGCACAGAAATAAGCAAATGTGTTGTGGAACAAAATAATATTTCTACATTGACATGTTTGATATTCTGTATATTGTACCTTTAATTTCTCCGAGAAGTTCACTGGTATTTAATCTTTCCATTTTTTCCTTCCAATCTTTCGAAAGTAGTTTTTCCATGCAGGAGGAATCTATTAAAATAAAAAAGTAAGTATTAAAACTATTACACATGTATTTGATAAGTATTAAAATATTACAAATACAGAAGGCTGTGGAGTTTATGGAGAAATTCTGTTATTCAAAAATAAATGATTAAGGCTATTTTTTGTTGTTGCTGTTTTAACCCTAGGATACAGACAATTATATTCCGTTATCTACTACAAAATACCATAACTAAATTTTTTTTGGCTGGAAGATTATTTAAACTATTCCCACGAAAAAAAAAGATAATGCTCAATAATCTTATCTTGGTATTATAACTACAGTTAATTAATATTCAGCCAGCATTTATCACTTCTTAGACCAATTGGACAGAACAAGGGGCTTTTTCATACAAGCTTAAGTTTAGATATTATTCCTTTCAAACCAGGTGATGTTTTTTAAGTCCAAGCAAAATTCATGTGCTATTCAAGGAAGAATGATAAATCTTCAAAGGAGAAGAGACCAATCGACCTGTAACTACTTAGTCCTTAAAAAAGAAATAAACATATGGCAACTTTTGTAAAATACCCATTTAGAGTAAAATGCAAAGAAAATAAAGTCATGATGTCCTCTGTCCCCCAGTAATGAAAACAGTTAAAACTTTTCTCTTATATAAAAAGAGACGCATGATCTTTTCAAGAAAATCCTTATTTAAACGCTGCTTGACCTATTGCATTTCTAAATAGCATTTCTAAATAGCATACTAGATTACACTTGTTTCTATTAAGATTCATAAAGTTTACAGAAGTTTAAATTTTAGAATGTTCTAATAATTAGCAAATTTTTATCAATGAATTATTTTTTTCTCTCTGTTCAGATGGATTTGCAACTGGAGCTACTGCTTACATCTATTTACGTGTATCTTTTAAGCCTCAAATCTTAACAAACAGGCCATGTTTCCAAAAGGGAAAGCAGATTTAAATACTCAATCCTCAGTGCAAAGAATACTCCCATTAAACTTTAACATTCCAAGCGTCAAAATTCTGATAACTCCTTTTTAAAATTATATTTAAAATAATTACTTCAATTCCAAATGCCTTTTCTCTCCCATATCAGTACCTATCTCTTTAGCATTTTCCCTTTCATTTTTTCTCCAACTTCTAAATCCTCCTTGAATTTTTCAGAATGACAGTAAGGTCAAGATGGATCTGAAGGGTTTTAGAAACTAGATAAGCTTTAAAAAGAAGACAGTGAGCCCCGGGTAAGAGATGAGAGGACCACTGCATGGTTAGAAAGTATTGGTGAAAACAATTAACGTTTGTTCGTGACATGATCAATCAATCAAGGAATGGATAGAATCCAGATCAGTATGTTGGGAAATCGCTGATGAAGAACAACCATACTAGCTCTCTATCACAGAAGCTAAAGTTCTTTCTAAATAGAAGTCAGCTTGATTCTATTAAGTGAAAGCTCCCTGCTCCTTCTCTTACTTCTTCCCTTCTTTCCTTGCCTCCTTCTTTCCTTCCAGTCTTTCCTATTAATTATTTTCATAGGCTTCAACAAGTGACCTACCACTGTGATTAAAAACTGGATTCTGAGTGACCTGCTAATAGGGCCTATATGCATATGCGTATGTTCAGTTTGTATTTAATTTTCAAAATGTTCTCTTGTTACTTTTATTTTAAATTCAGAAACAAGGTGTATACTTCGTTCCACACATATTTTGTTTTTATGCTAAAGTCATAGAAAAGATAACACTAATTTGAGAGTTAAGGAGCAAAATCTTCAAAGCCATGCCTATCAGAGATTACTTTTTCTCAAATCAGGTCTAAATTTCTGGATATAACATTAGACCATGTATAAGAATAATCAACAAAATGTCTTCAACTTCCTACCTTACTCAGTTTTGTTACTTTTTTTTAACCTTTTCATACATGTTATAACATTGTACTAAACTGATAATCACTGATATGAACGCTAAAGCATAACTTGTTTGGTTAAAATTTGAGTTGAGTGCACATATTATAATGGTCAAGACAAAAATCCCAATTGACTAGTAATGATCCAAAATTCACAGCAAGTTCATAAACTAGGATTAGATACACACTAAATGTAAAACAGGCTAAAATATGTCTCTCATTTCTATTAATAGACCTGAAATCTTTCAGAGCTCCAGAAAAAGAATGCTGAAACTTCATGGGAGAAAAACAGAACTATATGGACAACAAGAATATACACTTCAAACATTTATCAAATAAGTTTGAAGACACAGCTTTACATAAAAGCTAATCATTAATAAAATGGTTAATAAATTCAAAACATTTCACATTCCTATTAGAAAATTAATTCTCACCATAATGCTGAGTTAATCTAGCTATATGAGTTCCCATTTCAGTAGAAGACACTGAGGGGAAAAACATAAAGCAGGCTTTGCAAGTCTATATTTATAGCCCATGAAAATATTTAGTAACAATCACTGATTGCCTTTATCTACAGGACAATAAAGGTCACTACATACAACTTTATCAGCATTTAATCTCAATTCTGGGAGATTCCAGGAATATTCAAAACTGTGAGAAGGTCTCTTGAAAAACTGAGCTTTTTCACCTAATTATCTGTCTGCCAGACCTCTAAGGGCATACATACCACAATTAGTACTAAACACAACCCACACTGTAATGTAAAACAAGTAAGGTGAGGGAAAAAGACCAGAAGATGCAGTACCACAAGATGTACTAAAATGCTACATATGCAGAGGATACTACTGCCTCTACCAAGACGTTTCTGACTTGAAATGAGGAAATATATGCTAAAGTTAAAAGTGAAATTTTATATTTTCAAATTTCCCGCTCAAAACAATATCCAGGTAAGGGTAAAAATTAACGGTATTCATCCTCCTGTGCCACATACGTCAACTACATTAACAGGACGCTAGCTTTACAGAGGCAATTCATCATATCAGACTTTGCCCCTTTCTGATCATGCACAAATGCAAAAATCAAAGAGGTCAAGATAAGTAAAGAAGTCCAGTTTGCCTTATGTCCACGCAAAGAGTAAGCCCATGTTTCAATTCAGTACTTATGCAGGATTCCAAATGGAAAAAAAAAGAACTAAACATCACCCGGATATTCTTGGATAACTCTACACAGATAAATATGCCACAGTCCTCAAAACAATGAAAAGATATACAGTATATTTTATTATCTGAGTTTGACTACTCAAATTTTAGTATTTTGACTGAGTTGTTTTCAGCTAAACAGGAAGAAACTACATACCTTTTGGAAATTATAGTATCACAATATTATAGTATGTGTCACGGTAATATGTACATATTAAAAATGAATGTAAGCCATAACACTTCAGTATAAAGTGGAAAATGCCAAAATTTATTCCTCTTACTTTGAAAGAATTAGTGTCCATAAACCAATACATATTCAATGAAATATGAGAGTTTATATTTATCTTGTCTAATTTTTGTAAATAGTGTGATAAAAACAGGACTGAAAAATCGAGTTGCACTTCAATTCTTGCTTATTTTTAATCAAGGATGTAAAGGGTTCTGATATGTTATAAATTAATTCTCAGTTGCATAGCTTTTGTTTTTCCTTTTCCTTTGCAAATTTAAGTTTTTCTATTTCAATAACCTTTTTCTAAGGATAAAAGGAAAGATATCATAATGGATTGCAAAGCAATGTTTCTGCTTCCTAAATACCTAGGTTTCCTAAATACCTAGGTTTCAGGCCAGGTAAGTCAGGAATGCTTTATCGTGCTAATAATTAATTTTACAGTACAAGGGAAATTTGAAGTGAGAGTATGTGAGATATTTATTTCCTAATCTATATGATGATATGTTAGGAACAACTGAAAATTATTCCTAGTTAAACAAAGCTGCAGCAGTGTTAACTACTATTCTGAGCAAAATAAAGGGTCAAAGAGAGTAAATAAAGAAATCATCATTAAAATTAAATCATGGGGGAATGGGAAAGGATAATGGGAAAAATTTTTTATCGTACTTTAAAACAATTTACCTGTGAGTAAACACTTATCATTATTCCCTTTACCTCAAAGTGATAAAGTTAGAAATGCTGAAACATTAGAAACATGACATAGAAAATAACTTTAAAATACCTTGGTGAGAAACAACAATGACTGCTCCCCCTGTATACAGATCCTACTGCTTTATTAACTTTTTTAAGAAAATATTAAAGCAATCCCTTTTATTTTTACCACAGGAATCATAAATTTCAGAAGCAATAAATTTTTTATGTATCCAAACAATGATAACTTATTAAAAGTATCCTTGACCTTGGTTTACAACTAATTCTGACAATATATATTTATATCCCTGCTGATCATCAATCTCACATTTTTCATTAGGAAACAGAGATGCACATGCCAGTTACTGTACATTTTTCCACAGTGACGAGTGCTCCACAATACAGTGGGATAAAATTGGAGCTTGGAGAGCTTGAAGAGCACTCTTAAATTTTAATTAAAACCCTCCAAGCTCACTAAAAATAATTAGACACAAAAATGTGCCAGTTTTATTTTGAAGTCACTATAACGTACAAAGCACACTCCCTGACGACTGCTCATGCTCTCATTCTCTCTCTCTCTCCCTCTCTCCAATGAAACAACTGATTTTCCAAATACGAACAAGGCGGTATAAATAGAGGCTGTTTTCAATCCTGCTCTTCATGCTGGGAAGCTGACAGAAAAGACAGTAGAGTGGGTTTTTCAGACCGCACCAAATGAACCTAGAATAACTTGCCTAACCAAGAGTTCGAATCACTGACAAACTCTAGATAAAATTCAGTCTTCAAGGAACACCACGGGTTATATCACTGATCTTTTTTGATCCAAAAGCCAAACCTTTAACCTCTTAAATGTTTTTGCTTTCTTAAAATATCTCATACAATGCTATATTCCATCCTATTTTTAGCTAAGCAGCAAGAGAAAGCATGCCTTTCCCATACAGCAGGGCAATGATATAAACATCAACACAGATGCACTGCCAGGAAGAGCTGGACTTCTCAAGCACTTGATCATT